CCTTCTTGGGCACCAATTCTACAAGAGAAGCCACTCTGACAGACCCATACTTTTTGCTTTAATGGGGGGAGGAGGGGTCTGCATGGATGTTGAGATCCAGGCAGTGGATAAACTTGGAGGATTGTGACTTTGCTTATTAGCCCTGTTTGAGTTGTGTCATTTACTTGAACCTGGAATCAAACAAATATTGTGGTAAATTAGGACAGAGACCTGCTCTTTACATTTGTATAGTGCCTAGCACGTAGGGCTGAGGTCTCTTGGAGCCAATGCAATAAAAATAAAATAAGTTTGTAAACCCTCAAAATGCAAAATTACATGTATTATTGAACTACTGTGAATGGTAAACAACCCAGGCTGTTTAATTATGTATTGGAATGCACTGCCCTGTTAGGCTCAGGTGGACTCTGCTTACCTAGGGGAAAATTCCTGTTGAAGGATGGCATCTCCAAGACTCCTTACTCAGACTTCCTTGCACAGAGTACAAATGCACATTGTTCCCATAGTGTCCTATTCTACTTAGTATGGGTAGGAAGGAAATATCCCAGTCCCCCTCACAAACTACTCTGGGTTCCCCAAATTTTGGGCTACAAATTGTCATTGCCCTTTCTGCAATGGAGCTCCTGTCTGCCTTCTGCCTCTCCGCATGTTGTGCAAGGACCAGGGACAATCTCCCCTAATCTGTTCAGTTAGTGCCCTGCTGCAATTTGGTAACAGAAAGGGTTAGATGTTTATATGACTTAGAACAGATTCTCTGTTTACAATAGGTAGGGCTAAAATGATGGGCATAATTCAGGAAGGTGATGAGACACTTCAGAAAAGCTCTCAATACCTTAAAGTCTCTGACTATACAAGGATTTTCAATTTTCTTCAGTCCAGTACTTCAGGGCAGAAACCAGTCACCATCAGATGGGATCTGGGAATAACTTTCTCATGTCATGATGCTGCAAAATTACATGCATTATGGGCCTTGCATTGAAGTCAACAAACTCCCACTTTGCAGCGAGAATTGGATCAGGCCGTAACACATCTGTCTGTCAAGATTTCAGACTGAGATGTTGAGGCAGCTTTGAAAGATGAAATTTAATAATTAAAAGACAAAGCAAGTATTTACTAAAAACATTTTATATAAAAAGTATATACAAAAATTACAGTATTTTATAGCAAAATTTAAAGTGTTACTGCAGCTGCAAATGCACAATAAACACAAATAACTATTTGCTACATTTATCATTAAAAGTCAAGAGGGTAACGAGGCTGGGGGAATGAGAGAGTGAATGCACAAACGGAAATGGTAGCTACATCATTTGTCTTCAAATGAGTCCTTGTCAGATATCGCTTGTTAGTTTTTCCCCAGGCTGAGCGTGTCTTTGGATTACTGAGAAATAAAATATGATTATTTGGTCTGCTCCCTGTTGTGCTACATATATTCTCTCAGAATGGAGTGACATAAAGATGTGTACGTATGGAGAGAAAAAAGGTTTGAAATACCTGGGAGCACTTCCTAAATAAAATTGGTCACATTATTATATATCAAGCTGCAGAGACAAAGTGATGTAAAACATCTGTGTGTAACAGATAGTATAGTATCTGTCTTAAGTTACTATCAGCTGTGAATTTGTGAAGCTAGAGCTTCTTCACAATCCTTTTCCATGTGTATCTCCCTAAGATCTTTGTCATTTAGACTTTTTCTTAATCATAAGTATGGTTTCTACTTTTAGGCTGCCACAGATACATCAGAAATTCAGTGTTTAGGATTTTTAAAAAAATAAGCACCTAAAATACCTGGACTTAAAAAAAAAACCACTCTCTTATTTATATGCTAGTGTTTCAGTATGTTGCTGAGGACTTAAAATAATATGGGCCTGATGCAGGAAATGAAGTCTATGAGACTATTCCATTTGTAAAGTTCAAATATAAAACTTTGAAGGATCAGGAACAGAAACTAGATCTGGAGACAGCAGTTTAATGCAGTCTTGTAGTGTTCCTGAGTTATGTTAAGAGTACTGCGCCAGCTGAATCAAAAATTAGAACTGGATGAAAATATGGATAAAATTCTTGGTACATTATTTTCTTTTGAAAATGTATTAAGCTAAAAACTGATATACAGTTTGAAATTTAGTCAGTTTTGTGAAAAAAACACCGTACACCCTAATAAGATTGAATCAGATTTCACTGGCCTTTCCTTCATTGAATGACAGATACCTAAAGGGTACTCTTCAAGGTTTTTGAACTGATCTGAGGCTATGTCTACATTACAGAGCTTTTCTGGGATACCGGAAGTATCACAGAAAAGCTCTGCCGTGTCAAAAGAATGCTTCCGCTTTTTCAAAACAATTTCCAAAAAGGAGGAAGCGTTCTTTCGGCATCTCTGTTTTCCTCATTTTATGAGGAATAAGGGATATTCCGAAAGAGGAGATATTTCTGATATTTGGCTCCATGTAGATTGGCCAAATGTCAGAAAAGCCTCTTCTGGAAAAAAACAAAACAAAACAGAAAAAGATACACAAATTGCAGTTCACAATTTGCGTATCTTTTTCTGGAAAAAAACAAAAATAAAAACCCCTTCAGTGTAGACATAGTCTGAATGGCTATATGGTCAAGCTCTTACTCAAACAATTTCACTGAAATCAATGGAACAACTTGTTCAGAGGGCTTGATCCTGTGAACACCTACACGCCGGCTTAACTTTATTAAGGGTAATCTCATTACAGGATTGGGGACTAAAGTATTATGCATTATGAGTAAGGGTTAAAAAATCTAGCCCTTTCTTAGCTAGACAAACCTGAATATCTTCCAGTGAAAACCAGATGCAATTTAAAGTCAGTGGTGACTAGTATGAAACTAGTATGAATTCACTGCATTCAAGATTAGGAAGCCACGAAATAGCACCAATGTCTCTAATGTGCAGTCAAAGAATTCTTAAGTAATGTTCAAAGGTAGGAGGTTTAAAACAAACAAAAGGATGTTTTTCTTCACGTAGTGCACAATCAACCTGTGGAACGCCTTGCCAGAGGATGTTGTGAAGACCAAGAATTTAACAGGTTTCAAAAAAGCAATAGATAATTTCATGGCGGTTAAATCCATCAATGGCTATTAGCAGGGCTCGACAATTAGGGAATCTACTTGCCCGTGGTGAGTAGATTTTAGCCCGGCACAGCGCTGCAGCGTGATCAGTGCATGTGCAGCATGCCAAACCACACGGCTGAAGGCTCACTGCTGCTTGTCAAGCCCTGGCTATTAGCTAGGATGGGTAGGAATGGTGTCCCTAGCTTCTATTTGTCAGAGGCTGGAAATGAATGACAGAAGAGGGATCACATGATGATTACCTGTTCTGTTCACTCCCTCTGGGGCATCTGGCATTGGCCACTGTTGGAAGATAGAATACTGAGCTAGATGGACCTTTGGGCTTATGTAAGGGACTAGTTGAGAAAGTATATAATGTATTTAAGGCACTGTTGTGCTGCAAAGCAAGTTTTTCCAGTAAGCAGTGGAGCAATTCATAGAATTGATTACCACTGAAATTAATATAAAGATTGAAACTCTGTTAACTGGGATTCTCTGGTTCAGCACCATCTATAGTCCGGCACAGATGTTGCAATACCAGGAGAGTTCTGTGGAGGACCAGTGGCAAGGACCCCTGTAGTGCCGGCAGGGCAACAGGCTGCCTGCAGCGAGCTGACAGCGTGGCTGGGAGCTGCTGTAGCTGTGGCTTGGTGGGGCAGGGGGCCATAGCAGTGGCGGCAGTGGCTCGGTGGGACAGGAAGCCACAGTGTGCAGTAGCTGCCTAGCAGATCCCAGAGCTGCAGTGCACGGTGGCTGCTTGGCGAGTTCCAGAGTGTCCCAGAGCCCTGTCACACAACTGCCTGGCGCCCCAGTATGTGGCTGCCCAGCAAGGCCGGGAGCTATGGCAGCGATGGCTGTCCGGTAGGGCAGCGGGGCAGCAGGAGGCGGGGGGGCAGGCCGGGGGCCAGTGGGGCCG